CTATATGTTCTATGCAACTCATCCATATTGTGAGGTACTTCCAGAATTGGTTGAAAACAACCAAATTGTCGGAGCATGCGATCAGTGGACTGCCACTCGACGGTCGCATAACAGATCAAGGGGACCATCGTCATCCAAACATCTGATGAGCCTCTCAACACAGGTGGGATCACCGCCCTCACATCATCAGTAGAATATGACACTCATTCAAACTAAAACAAATATATATAATTTTTATCAAAATAATAATTTAATTATATAACTATAATCTAAAATCGATTTTTAAACATTAAAATTCATACCTGTGTGCCAGCCTGCTGATCGATGACCACCCTAATTTTTTCTAAACCATCAGGTAGCTCCTGATGATTTTTCCTATCAGTAGACCACCTATTCGAGGAAAAAAATTATTATATGTTGTATAAAATGATTAATATACGAAATCAGTTTTACAATTACCTTAATAGTAGTGGAAATGCGAATAGGTTCTTGACAATGGGACATAAAAAGGGCAATCGATATCATGCCCAAGACTGCAGTAGCAGAAGACATACGCCGATAGTATTACGCCTGTAGTCAGTGGCTCGACACATCTCTCTGTACAGGAAAGCCGAAACTGCCGAGCCCCAACTAAGTGATCCGGCCAGATGAAAGTCGCCAAGGTGTCGCAACCACATGCAGTGAACTTGGTTGCGTGATTTGTCTGGCATCAACAACCCTCCTATCATCTACAGTATGCATGCCCGTGCATACATTTTAAATTCATCCTCAAACGCATCCTCGCTCAAATCACGAAAATTGGCATCTAACCAATTTAACGGTATCCGACCACCGTTAAAATTTTCTGGGACACGTCCTAGATTATCCCGACAAAAAGCAGTCCAGGAATTATATGCGATCCCCGATATCACATCTCCATCCACCGGAAGCCCCAGGTGCATAGAAACATCCTCAAGTGTAATCGTGCACTCTCCGCACGGAAGATGGAATGTGTGGGTCTCCGGCCTCCACCACTCTACTAAGGCAGAAATCAGGTCGGGCTCTATCTTACAGTGACCCTGATATCTACCTATGTAACCGAATCCAGCCTCTAGGCCTGTAAATGAACTGAACGTTCAGCGAACCGTTCGTGAACCGTGCGGCGGGAAGTTCGTTTATGTGCGTTTATTTATTAAATGAACGAACATGAACAATATTTTTTGTTCGTTTAATTAAATGAACGAACATGAACATAGGTCTCGTTCGTTCATTTACGTTCGTGAACGTTCGATTATGTTCGTTCGGTTATGTTTGTTTATGTTCGTTCGATTATGTTCGTTTATGTTCATTCATTTATGTTTAACTCAATCTTCTTAAATCAATTTTGGTGACCAATTTGTAAGTATCTTAAAAATATTAATTAATCTGATATTCTGATGACCAACTCCATAATTAACCCAATTTTATTTGGAGATTAAATCCAATATGTTAACCTGTGAGGCACATCGCACCTATATTCATTTCCCCCTTTTTCCCCAAACCCTAGTATTCACTAGAGAGTGGATACGATCGCTGAAAGCTTCAAAACAAGTTATATTATAGTGCAGTATGAAGTTTTACAGGTATGTTTTCATCTCTTTCTCTGTTTTATTTGGCTTAATAGTTGATATGTAAAGTTATTGCAGGTATCTTCACATCTAAAACTCAAGAAAACATCATACTTCTTTCTAGAAATAGATTGGAAGATAAAGGTAACAATTGGAAGTATATGAACATCAATAAAGAGAAAAATATATAGAATTTGCCAGAAAACAAAACAAAGGTTTCTATGCAATTTATGAAAAGAGTGTAATAGCGAAAAATGATTGTTCATATGTAATCATGGACCACTAAGATAAATGTTATAGCGTTAAATTAAAGTTGTGTGAATCATTTAATATCTTTAAAAGATCGATCAAAATATTTAATATCTTCAAACATTTCATCACTGCTAATAAACTCTTACGCTATTTATCACTGTAGATTTGGTTATTTGCATTGTCGACTATTTTTCATGAAAGAACAATGGAAGGTAGGGTCTCCAACGTTTATGTTCGTTTATGTTCGTGTTCATTTATGTTCGTGTTCGTTTATGTTCGTGTTCGTTTATGTTCGTTTATTTATTAAATGAACGAACATGAACATATTATATTCCTTAATAAACGAACATGAACAAAAAAAATTTTGTTCGTTTATGTTCGTGTCCGTTTATGTTCGTCTATTTATTAAATGAACGAACATGAACATACCTCCGTTCGTGTGCGTTCGGTTCGTTTACAGGCCTACCAGCCTCTACTAAATACGGCAAGACACGGTTAAGTATCACTAACTTAAGATTTCTAATAAAAGGATCTAATACACGGTTCTTCTCCTAAAATTAAATAATTACAAAAATTAATTCTTAATCTAATAATCATGCATTAAATAAATCAACATATTATTACTAATAATTTAAATTAAATTAAAACGTTAAAATGTTACCGTATCAGCAAAGTGTCGAGATATATGATTTGCATCCAAGCGAAGTAGATCGTCTGCCATTTTATATATGCAAAAAAATTAAATAAGTAAAATATTAAATAAATTAAATACTTAAATAAATTAAATACAAAATATTAAAAATATAATAAAATATATAGGGAGGTTTGGGGGTATTGAAGTTGGGGTAGTTGTGTAATTACACCTAAGGCGCGCTGCAGGGGGCGCCTTCCTGACGCGTGTCAGATTCACAGGGAAGGCGCGGCCCCTGCCCCGCGCCTTAGGTGTAATTACACACATACCCCGCGCTTTATCTACGTGTATTCATGTCAGCATAAGACGCGCTTCAGGGGGCGCGTCTTACCCCACGTGGCGTCAAATCAGCATATAGCGCGGTGCATGAGGCGCACTTTACTACTAAGGGTGTTAGATCGAAAAATATAATATAACCGGTGTTAGATCGATAAATATACCGATCACCGGTGATTTTTCGAAAAAAACGCCTCCAATCCCTGGCTAACCAAGGAGAAAACACATTAAACTTCTTGTATTACAAGTACAATGTAATGGGGGGGGGAGAAATGACTTTTTCCTCTACATATCACTATTTAAAGAATTATTTTTTTTGTTATTAAAAATTCTTTTTGAAATAATATATATTTATAATTATTTATAAAAATATATTTGAATTTAATATATAAAAAATATATCACGTCAAATACGCTTTTAAAAAGTAATTTTCACAAAACATATTTTTATAATAAATAATATCATCTTATTTGAGTGGTTAAAGCACGTATTAATTGCTATTTTGCGTTCAAACTCTATTAATATATTTTTAAGTCATATTCGTTTATTCATTTTGGAATAAATAATTTTTTTACTTGGTCAGACTAATTTTAAAATTATTTTTCGTTGGCACGTTATGCCGCGCCAGTACTTTTGTACACGTGATGTTATCACATCAATGTATGTTGTCATGTAAGTTTATCAAATCATCTTAAGACGCTGATTAATTAATATATGAACAATTTCTATAAAAAAATAAATTATTTTGATCTAAAAAAATGTTGAAAGTTAAAATATTTAAAAATATAACTAAAAATAACTATTAAGTCAATCATAAGGTAATTTTTTAACATTGTGCTTTTATTAAGATATTTTAAAATAAAAAAATAAGATAATATAAATGTGGTACTATTTTATAATAAAACAAGACTTGATGAGATTAAGTTTGGAAGAAAATTGTTTGTCCTAATAAAGTAGGTTAAAAAATATTCAATCAACGATATCATATTACATTAATAATGAAAATATATTCAATTAAAAATATTTATAACTAAAAGAAAGAATAAAAATACTTATAGTAGAAGGTTTGATCTCAACACAATAATAATCAACATAAGCTTTAATCACCCGAACAATGTGAAATCATTTAAGAAAAATATGTTAGTCTAAATAACATATTTAGATATCAATTTCATACATAATTATAAACAAGCGTTATTTCTAAAAATAAATTTTAAAAAGTGACATTTGGATTGATATGGGGATTGTAGGGTTTAAATTTTACGAGAACAAAGCAGGAACTTCGTAGCCGTAGTAGTAATCTGAGCGTTGGTCCCAGCTGATGGAGACCACAAGAAACATGCAAACAAGAGAATGGTGATTAAGACATGGAGATATCATGTTTTCAAGCCTTCAGCAAAAAACCACTAACCCATTCTGAAATTTGAAATAGAGTAGAAGGATGGGAAAATGTAGACTCCTATTGGCACTATCTGCTGTGATTAACTGGTTTTCACAGCTATAGTAAAAGGGGTGGGGAAAAAACATTCCTTCTAACTCAATTTTTGAATTGGAGTTGAAGAAAACATTCCTTTGACATCAAGCCTCACCCACAGGTCCAGAACCTGTTAAAAGCTAAAACTGGGAGAAGGGCAAAGCGTAGTTCGAGGAGTATAGATCCGTCAAACAACTGCAACAACTCCCATCTACATGCATCATAAAGCAAGTTAGTACGTGGTTTAAAACTATGGAATTTCTACTTTTAACCCTTAACAATGATAGGTTCGGAGGAAAAATCCGATACAAGGTGATTCAATTTTATTGGACCTTTTTTTTTTCTCCACTGAAAACACTAGCATAAAACCTAAAACATGAATTTGATATTTTGATTGTGTTAATTTTAAGCATACAATTCATCCATGTTACACTCCCCTAGGAAAACCTTTAAGCTGTACGGTGAGCCACAATCGCCTTCAGCAATTAGTGCTCTGTCATTGGCAGCCATGTGCTCAATGATTTTGTAGATCATTTCAATCTGCAATAATAAAACAGAGGAGGTTAAGCACAGTATTTTATTGATCGAGTCATGAGAAGTAACCTCGAACAGTATTTTGGTACATACATCTTCAGGAGCATGGCAACGTTCAGCTACTTCTTCGAGTGTCAATGGTTCAACAGGTTGTTTACAGCTAAACAAAGTGAAACAGAAAACATAATCAGCAGAAAAACAGCACATGCACATTCATCCACCCCAAGTCCAATGAAAGATGGTAAAAAAAAAACACTGCATGAAAAAGGAACTCCATCGGAGTCATCAAGCATTTGAACCAAAGAAGAGGAAGAGAGAGAAAGATAGGCTAGAAGACCAGAAAATGAGAGAGAATATCAGTAGCTGAAATCTAAAAGACTTTCCAGTTATGTAACTTTCTTCAACTCTGACTTGCAAGGGCAATACAATCCATCCATAGAAGTCCACAAAATGATGATAAACTTGGCAAATAACTCAGTATGTTGCTTCCCTAAAGGACAAGCATCTGACATATAATGGCATGGGAGACTTCCAGATAAATTGCACCATAAACAGATCATAATCATCTGCCATCTAACCTGGCCTCATTGAGTACTGCTAAAACCCGCTTCTGTAGAGCTAATACTTCGCCTGCTGCTTTTTTCCCAGCTTCCACACCTAAGATGAAAATTAAGTGTCAAAAGTAGAGAAAGAAAAAGAGGATCAATCAATAGAATAAACCCAACAAGAATGTTCAGATCAAACAACTAGGTTGCAAGATATGACCTAACAAGTACCCAGACAATATCCACCTCAGCCCCTTTCAAGAACTAAATTTCCTAAATAGAAGATGAAACATATTTTACCTGGTTGATGGTAAGCATTAATGTTGACAAGTGAGGCATAAAGTCCAACTGCTCGCTCATAAAGTGCTACAAGAGCCCCAACAGATCTGGGTGTCACCTCTTGGACAGTGACAGTGATGGACTCCCGGTCATTTCCATACAGAGCTGATCTTGTTCCCTGCACAAGCAAGGTCATAAGAACAAACATTTTCAGCCTTTATCATGCCTACACTAATTAAAATCCCCCATTTTAGGAAACTGTCACTTATCAAACCTGTAGCATTCCAAACAGGTAGTCACCACATGTAACACCTGGTTCAAGTTCCCAATCATGACCAGGGGGTCTATCACGTAATACTTCAATGAATGTCACAAAGAAATTATGCACACCCTCCCTCAGCTGTTGAATATAGCTATAAATTGATTACAAGGAAAGTTGCATCAGGCCTGAGCTTCACTTTCATCAATACAGAAGAAAAAAAAAAGTTTAAAGGCACAAGGAAAACTTACGCATGCTGATCTGTGCTTCCTTTATTCCCATAAACAGATATTCCTTGATTTACCTGATGAATTAAGAAATTGTGTTTTTACCCATTCTATAATGTAAGAAAGCAACTCAAACATGTTTATAATGAGTAAATTCAACAGAAAGGCAAAAAAAACAAGAACAAAGACGAACAAAAACAAAATTTGCATCATGCTCTGCCGTCATTGAATTTTAAGATCTCAAGTAACACATTTTGACAGGTTTCTGTTACCTTGATATTGCTTTGATATTAATAAATTAATGCGTATCTAATAATGCTTTGATATTAATAAATGGTACATAATATGCATTGAGGGGATAAAGCACAGGCTTTGTTGAATTAAGGCCTGGCCACCAATAAGGTTTCTCATGACACAATTCTACTACAAATTAGTCATGCCAAATCAACAAATAAAACATGTCTCTGATATTTCATCAATACATAACTAGAGGTCCAATCACTTAATTGCTAATATTTAGAAACAATACAACCAAGTTACAGATCTTTGATCATGCCAAAATGCTTCAATGAGCAAAGATCTGACAACAGTATCCATTAAAATGGCTCCAGGTAAGTCAGAAAATGTATGATACAAGGTATACTCCTAACATAAGATCAATCACTTGTGAAAAACCATGAATCATTCTCTCCAAACACAAAATGTCCGCATATCAGCTCACATGTATTATCCAGGTAATTAAGAAAATGTATGATACAAGGTATACTCCTAACATAAGAATCAACCACCTATGGAAAACTATGAATCATTCTCCACAAACACAAAATGCTTTCATATCAGCTCATATGTTTTACCAAGTAATATACCCACTATGAAAAGCATTTAAAGTGAATGATAAGAAAATGTCCTAGAGTTTAGCTTTTTCCACAAAGTGGCCACTAGTGAACCAAAAGTAGCGTCCAAGATACATCCTAAAAAAGTGGAATGAATGGATCATCTTAAATGGCTACACATACCCGATTACCATCCAGGTCAAACTCCTTGCCGAGTGATTCCATAACCAGCTGCTGTAAGTACCTACTAAAAAGTAATAAGCTGTCCTTGTAAGGAAGGACAACCATATCCTAAGAGAATCCCACAAGAGAAGCCATCAGTATGAGAAACCGAAATTTTGACAACATAAGATTTGTAATGTTTTTAAGAATTTAATACCTTAGATCCAACCCCATCACATGCCCAATACCAACATAGAGCAAGCAATGCTGCAGGATTATCCCTGAGCTGAAGCAAAGCGGGAAAAGAAATTTATGTCAATGAAGGGGGGTGAGAGGTGGAATACAGGCCAGATACAAAATAAATATAGGAAGTCAAAAGCAAACTGAAACAAGAAAACATTTCAAACAGAAGATGAGAAACAAGTTTTTCCCACACTAAGAAACTGCCAACTATACTCTTTAGCTTCCGAAACAGGCAACATGAGATGAATACAAGTAACCCAAGGTAACCAAATAAAAATTGCAATTATCATGATTCAATTCTTCCCTAATCAAATAATTGAAAAAAGTAACAAAGTATGTTAAAACAACTATAAAATATCAGTCCAAATTTTACCACTGTGCTCCTAGTGGCGTTGTCCATCATAGATGCACCAACTAGCATCTCTCTTATTTCAATTCCCTGCAGAAATATATCACCTAGTGAATTGTCTGAAAGTGCTCCAATAACCAGAAATATTAAATCCATATATTACTTACCTGAAGTGCTGCTGGAAGTAGACCTACAGCAGACATTTCAGATGTCCTGCCACCAACCCAATCATACATAGGGAATCTGGCAACCCAACCCTCAATCCTCGCTGTGTTGTCCAACAAAGAATTTTCTTGTGTTATAGCTACGCCCTGCATGAATGTGTAAATAATCAACACATATAAACCTGAGAATCAAATTACAGGGGAAAATTTGCTTCCAGAGTACAGGAGAACCAGGCAAGAATTCAAAATTCTCATCTAAACACAATAGTTGATTACGTAATACCAAGTGAAGTCTCTATGGGCAACATGGATTGGTTTAGTTGGTTGAGTATACATTAGCACCTTGGTAAGAACCATGGTTCTAGTCTCACCAACAATCCCATTTCGCTTTGCTAAGCAAAAAAAAAGTGATTTCTCTACATCAGGGTCATACAGAACAAACTAAGAATAGTTTCAGATGGGGGGTCTGCTTAAAAATTCAAGCTACCATCTAATAACTTGCAAATGTTTATCAAGCTCACTAAACATAATAACCTTTTTCTTTTGTACAATGATAAGACCAATTTTATAAGGGAAAAGACTGATCATAGGATCGTACAAGTATTTGTAAAAAACTCCTCATTATGGTGGCAGAACAGACATTGGTCAGTTAAAGTGTTAAACAATAGAAAAGCTAAAACCCATGTGTGGACACGTTTCAGCATTTATGAAAGAATTCTTCCGAATGACAAGCATCTATATCTCAATCCAGCTCTAGTTACGAAGCCTTTTCATATCCTCCAATTATAACCTACCTTGAATTAAATACCAATGTGGTGCTGTCCAAACGGCTTGCTGCTATTATTAAAGATATAATTAGTCCCTCGCAGTTTGCCTTTATTCCGGGTAGGCAATTGCTTGACTATGCTCTTTTGGCTAATGAAGGCATTGATTATTGGAGGAAACAAGGGAGATATGGAGTTGTTTTCAAAGTTGATTTCCGCAGGGCCTATGATTCTGTTGAATGGCCGATTCTTATCAAACTTCTGAGGGGTATGGGTTTCGGTGAAAAATGGATTTCATGGATGGAGTGTTGTGTTTCTTCAGCCTCAACCTCGGTATTAGTGAATGGGTCTCCAACTGAGGAATTTCAGATTACTAAAGGTTTGAGACAGGGCTGCAGTTTGTCCCCTTTATTGTTTAATGTAGTTGGGGAACTTTTAAATCTAATGCTGAACAAGGCTGCTGATCTGGGTCTTTTTGAAGGGTTCAGTATTGGCAGGTGCGATAATTCTTTCCATCTGACTCACCTTCAGTTTGCAGATGATCTAATATTATTCTGCAAAGACTCTCCTACTCATATCCTTAATATTAAGAGAGTTTTGAGGATTTTCAGTGTGATGTCAGGGCTACACTTAAATTTGTCTAAGAGTAATTTGTATGGCATTAATGTGGATGAGGTAAGAGTATTAGAATGGGCTAGGATGGCGGGCTGTGGAGTGGGATCTTTTCCTATGACTTATCTTGTTTTGCCGCTTGGTTCAAAGAAGAATTCAGAGGGTATGTGGGAACCGGTTGTTCAGAATTTTTACAAAAGATTAGCAGGCTGGAAATCGAATTCTCTGTCGATGGCTGGGAGATTAGTGCTGGTTAAGTCTGTGTTGTCCAGCTTGCCAATATTTTACCTATCAATTTTTAAAATTCCAGTGAAGGTCATGCAGAAATTGAACTCTTTAATGGCGAATTTTATTTGGGGTGATGTCCCAGCTAAGAAAAAGGTACACTGGGTGAACTGGAAAACTGTCTGTCAATCGTTTGAAGGAGGAGGGTTGGGAATTTTAGACTTGAGGTTGATTAATAGAGTTTTGCTTGGGAAATGGATATGGAAATTTGCAAATGATAAAAATAGTCAGTGGAAAAAGATGATTTGCTGCAAGAGCAACGTTAGTAATTTGTCTCTTTCAATAATGAAGGCTGCTTCTCCGCACGATTCTTGGATTTGGAGAGCAATTCTAAACAATTATGTCAAAAACGATGAGGTTGGGGAATGTTTGAGAGCTAATTCAAAGATTCACATAGGCAATGGCAGATCCATTGTTTTTTGGCATGATGTGTGGATCAACGACTCAACCTTAAAATCACAATTTCCAAGAATTTTTGCTTTATCGGTTAATAAGTTGGGGACAATAGCTGAGTTTGGTGGTTTCGTGTAGAATGTTTGGGTGTGGAACATTCAGTTAAGAAGATATTTACTCGACTGGGAACTGGATCAGTGGATTGCTTTAATGTCCTTGATTGAAAATGTATCTTTGTCGAATTCAGTGGATGATTTTCTTGGGTGGTCGGGGAAAGGTGATGGCCTGTTTTCGGTCAAGTCATGTAGGAGGTCTTTTTATAGCAGTTCAGAAGGTTCGTTCGAGTGGAATAAGTGGGTTTGGGCTGGTTTGGCTCCTCCTAGGGTGGAAACTTTCCTTTGGCAGCTTTGTCATGGTAAAGTGGCAGTTAGAGAGGAGTTGAAGAAAAGAGATATTCCTTTGGAAGACGGTCTTTGTCCACTGTGTCAATTGCATGAAGAATATGTTGAACACCTTTTCTTCTCTTGTGTGGTTGCAGGGGAGCTATGGACCAAATTCCTTAGGCTATGGGAAATTTCTACTGCTCTTCCTCACGACCCCATTTCTCTTTTGTGCTCTTGGTCGTTTCTAAGGAAGGATTCTAGCATTTGGAAGTTCATCCCAGGGGTTGTTTTATGGTCAGTTTGGAAGGTTAGGAATCTGGTTATTTTTGAAAAGTGGAAGGTCGACTCTACATCTTTGTTCTTCTTCGCCAGATTTAGATTGGCTAAATGGTTTCTAGCTAAATATCCTTTGGTTCGTATCAACTCTGACAATTTAGTTGGGGATCCGACGCTTGCAGATAAGTCTCAGTACTCTCATGTCCATGAGAGGGCTATTTGTTGGACTCCACCGCCTATGGATATGTTCAAGCTAAACGTTGATGGGGCGGTAAGAGGGGATAGGTTGCAAGGTGGTATAGGTGGGATTTTAAAAGATTCTACCCCTAGTACCTTAGCCACCTTCTCTTTAGCGGTAGGGCCTGGAACTCCCATTTTAGCAGAGTTGAAAGCTATTAAGGAAGGGATTGTGTTTTTCTTCTCTTTGAACTGGGCTAACAAGGGAAGATTAATTATAGAAAGTGACCGTAAAACAGCAGTGGATTGGATTTCTAATCAAACTCTGCACCAGCTTTTTTCAGTTCGATGGTGGAGGAAATTGGGGCTTCTATTTCGGCTAAGGATATTGTTTTGAGATTGATTCCTAGGAGTTGCAATGTGGAAGCTGACCAGTTAGCTAAGGAGGGGATTGGTTGATTGCTTCAAGCATTTTGTGGGAATGTTTTGTGTTGGTTTTCTGGCCGATCGGCTACAGGCCAGACTCAGTAGAGGTCGTTGTAGAATTGTACAGGGCTGTTTGGCCTGTTTGGGCAGTTGTTTGTTCTTGGTTATTTTGGGAAAGTCCCTTGGCTGTATTTTATGTATTTATTATGGTTAATAAAAATTTTAAGGCACTCTTTTCCCTCTTCCGCTAATTGATGAGCTTCTCTACAAGCTCATACAATTAAGAAGGGGGTTTTTAATGAGGCCTTCAATTCCTATCAAAAAAATTAAATACCAATGTAAACTCTAAAACCAAACTCTGAAGCAGGGTAAACATATAAAAGCAGAAAAAAAATGATGAGATCAAAACCTGCTTTGAAAAATCCAGACCAGCTTCACGGAAGGCTTTTTGAACTTCCAACAGACCATTCCTAGTTTCTGGGGTACCTCCACTCTGGGTGATGTAAGTTTCCATATGATAAATAAAAAATATGTCGTATGTAGTCCATCAAAGAGGTAAGTACATAAGAATAAAACAAGAACAAAGAAAGGTAAGTGGATATTAAGGATGACTTGATGCAGACCTTTGAAATCACGATTACAAGGGTAGAAGCCAGCTCAGGACCAAGCTGTGCAATCTGATGATCTATTCCAGCGGGATCTGTATTATCAATAAATCTTATCTGCCAATTCAGAGAACAAATATCAATATCCTACTCTAATATATATATGTATACCGTTAAGACTAAAAATTATTCAGTTAGTAATGAACAAAAAGACCATTGCAAAGGAAGGCTACTCAAAATCTCAAAAGGGACGTTGGAGCATAGCTTTAACAAATAAACACTATTACTGCAAGCAGACTAAAGATCATTGTGAATAAAGAAATGAAAAACACAATTCAATTTAACAAAACAAGGGATAAGGAACTTATGTTTCATCTGAGCAATTTAACCACAAATTTTGATCAAAATCTTTTTAGAAAGCAAATTTCAAAGGGCATGAAATTATAATTGAACAAATACCTTTAGAGGAGGATTATCAGGAGCCAATGCCTCGGCGACGAATTGTGGACCCAGAGCCGAACCTCCAATCCCAACAGAGAGTATTTGAGTAAAACGACCCTCTGGAGAAGACGGAGGCTTAATCTGAAGTTTAAACGGGATTAAGCCAATTGATTAGTAAATTAATCCTGCTTCAACATTGATGCTCAACTAGCTTGTAGCGGCGAACAAAAAGTGGAACATCCAAACTAACCTTACCGCTGATGACGTCATCAGCGAACTTACAAACGGCGTCGAGAGTTTTATCAATCTGTGCTTGCAAAAACGAATTTGGCGCGAGCTTAGAGTTCCTCAACCAATAGTGGCCCACCATCCGTCCTTCATCGGGATTGGCGATGGAACCTTTTTCCAACTCCTCCATAGCTTTAAACGCGGCTTGGAACCGGGGCTCCATTTCCGCGACGAACTCATCCGAGAACCCGATCCTACTGACATCGAGGTACAACCCAAGCTCCTTGTGCTGGTACAACCAGTCAACGTACCTCCTCCAAAGCGCTTTAGGATCTTTCTCGAGTCCACCTTGCTTGGCCTTCTTCAGGACGCCTACGTTGTTGGTTTTCGACAAATCGGCGTACACTTCACGAGCCACGGAGAGCTTGGAGTTGGAGTTGGAGCGAGCTGAGAATGCGAGTGCGTCTTTGCGAAACGAAGGACTGAGTTTACCGACTCGGTCATGCTCAGGCTTCAAAGAAGGGGAAGAAGGACAAATGCCTGAGAGAGAGGCCATTGAAGAACACAAAGACGAGCGAAAACGAGACCACGACGATAACGATGTGCAACAACAACAAAAAAGAGAGAGATTTTGTTCTATTTAGGCCATTGGCTTAGAATTCGAGGAAGGGTTTGATATTTTTGTGAAGAATTTGATGAACGGAAATTGTTTTTAGGGGTTTTATATGCTTTGCTGGATTCGAGAAGGGGTTTTTACCGGTTGGGTTAAAGGTACAAACAGTATGCGGGTCGGTTGAAATTGGGTTCGCATGTTTGTACTCCAAATAATTTCAAACATATCTTATGTTGTGTCTCTTTTAATAAAATTACTTGTTTACTTATAGGGGAATCTTTGTTTACACTTAATACTTCGTTTAATATAAAATAATAAATGATGGAAATGAATAATAAGAATAAACTAATTAATAACTTTTTGTTTCCATTTTTTATATCAAATAAAATCGAAAAAGAAAACCTGCAACTCCAAAGGATGGCTTTGGGTGTCGTTACAGTAACAACAAAGGATGGCTTTAGGGTGCAAATGAGACGAAAACATATAATAATAAGTTATTTTAGTTTAATTCAATTAAAGTTTGTTCGGTACTCGAATTGAAGAGACTCAATTGGAGTTTTTAAAGAGTTGAATTAAGCTACTTGATTTTCAATTTAGAAAGTTCGAGAGTAACTCGAAAAATAATATATTAAATTTTTAATTTTTTAAATTATATTATTAATAATATTAACATTTATATGTTGTTTCTTTTATGTGTGATATAATGTTTTTATGTAATTAAGATTCAAGTCCCAACTCGAATCAAACTTAAGTTTGAGCTTTAATCGAGAGAAGTCTAAGAATGTTTTGAACTCAAATTTTTTCGAGCTCAAGTCAAATTTTTTATTTCGAGTTCAAATCAAACTTAACAATTTTAAAATCGCAAATTTTCCGTCAAATCGAACTCAACTATAATTTTAATCAACCGAATCAAACTAAGAAATACTCAAACTCCACTCAAATAGTTTACAACCCTAAATGACTTAACATAACACTATACATAAATAGTCAAAGAGACATTTAATGTGTCTAATATATCATAGACTATTAGACTCAACTGAATAGATTTAAAGCACCATTTAACCTTTTTATAACATTTCTTAAACAAAAATTGTTATTAAAAAGAACATTAAAAACAAAACTAATATCCTTTAACAAGAGTTTTTTTCTTCCTCGTGTAACTTTGTATTCTCTTTAACTTTATCATACTATTTTATTGCCATTTAAAATGAATTTGTAAAATAATAAATTAAATGAATAGTAACTCTTTTAATATTTACTTTTATTTAAGAATTAAACCTAAAATACTACTTAAAAATAAAAAATCTGACCCAATAGAACTTTTAAAGTGGTCAAGAGACAATAATCAAAGTAATATTATATATTATAAAGTAATTTTGTCTATTTAAAGTGGCCAAGAGCCAAAGAGGCAACGGCCGGAGTAATATTTTACATAAATATTTTTAAGGATTAATTAAAAAACATGTTTATAAACTAAATTTATATTTAAAATATTTTTTGTTAAAAATAAGTCTTTAAATTCATAAAATCCACAATATCTAAAATCCACAATATCTAAGAAATATCATAAACCCTAAAACCTAAACAAAAAAATGAAAAATCCCTTGCATTAATTCCCTATAAAGGCGGTAGATAATAAGTATATATTTTAGTATTCAAAATTTAGGGTTTAAAGTGAAATCATAGTCGATCAACTAATAGATAATGACAAATAAGTGATTGTTCAATGACAGTAGACGTAATCGAAGATAACCGGTGACAATAATAATAAGTTTAGAATTATATATTTAGATTTTTTTTAATGATTTTAGATAATTTTTTAATTAAATATTAATAATATCTTTAAATTTTAAAAAAAATAGAAACGCGCGATGTTTCACGTTTTAAGTGGTTAACAATTTTTTAGCGATTGTGACGGATCATATACCTAAAATAATAATATTAAATACCTACTTTGAGCAAAAAATACTTTAAGAATCTAAAATGTATAAAAATTACAATTTGAATATTTATTTTTTCGTCAAGTGACCACTAGGTAGGGATGGGAATAGCTCATGTTGGTTCGGATTTTTGGTCCACCCGACCTAATCCGAGAACAATGACTCTTCCACCCGAGATCTTACCCGACCCGCATGAAACAAGATTTCACCCAAGTTAACCCAACCCAATATATAACTTAAAAATACAACCCGACCTAAAATAATAAAAAATATTATTTTTAGTCAATAAAAACAATGACTTAATTGAAAAATAATAATATATAGATGGATATTATTATAATTATTCCTAAATATATAAGACAAAATTATATTTTTTTCGGGTCAAGTCGAGTTGGGTATTTTTCACCCTAAATCCGACCTGACCCGAACCCGAATTAAAAAAAAAAACTTGATTTGACCTTTCAGGTTTGGGTCCCATGCCCACCCCTACCACTAGCCAATTACCAAAGTAGTATTTAAAAGGGTAAACTATGCAAATGGCCACTAATATTTGAGTAAGTTTTCACCACTGATGTTTTAAAAGTTATAAATCAGTCACTAACGTTATCGTTTGTTACAAATTGGTAACTCGATGTTAACAAGCGTGATGAAAAACACAGCTGGTGCGTTAACCGCTTACATGGATTGGGTTGACTGGGTTGATCACCACGTTTTTAAAACTTCATGAGGAAAATGAAAACTTATTCAAACATTAGCTACCAATTGTGTAGTTTATCCTAATTAATAGGGGAATCAAAGGTTTCATTTACCATTCTTCTTCTTCTTCCATAAACACGTTTATTCTTCTTCCATAAACTCATTACTTCTTCTTCCATAAACTCATTTTTTCTTCCATAAACTCATTTTTTTCTTCTTATTTCATAAACCCATTTCTCCTTCAATTCGTCTGAGAGAAAAAGTAGTGAGAAAAACGATTTCTTCTTCTTCCATTCATCTGAGAGAAAAAGTAGTGAGAAAAACAAGCAAATAAAAATTATCGTAATTACATGAAGGTTACGACAAAGAAGGGACAACGATATGCTTTATGGTAAGCTTCTTTTGGGTTTGATAGGAAATAAAAAAAAATAAAACCTTAGCTGGGCATCCACAGTTGCGAAGCGAAACATCAATGGAGTCTTCCATATTCACAAGATTTCTTGTCATACAATTTTCAGATTTTTTTTAAAAAAGAAAAGAGATAGGAATGAAAATCCTTAAATTAAGTTTAGGGATTAGTTTTTTTTAAGGAGAAGATGTGACCGTTGAAGGCTTTTGGGTCTCCAACGTGGCGGTCAACCTAGTCAACCCAGTCCATTTAAGCAGTTAACATGCTAGGTGTGTTTTTCGTCATGCCTGTTAACGCCGAGTGACCAATTTGTAACAAACAATAATGTTAGAGACCGATTTGTGACTTTTGAAATATCAGTGGTGAAAACAAAAACTTACTCAAACATTAGTGACCATTTACTTAGTTTACCCTATTTAAAATATATAAAATAAATATTCTTTTAAAATTTGTTTTTAATTAATATATGTTTTATACTATTTTTAGCGAAAACACATCTAACGTAACGTGATTTTTAGAAAATATTTTTGATAGGAAACATATTCTATTTGATATGATAGAATCAACATGCTCGTTTCCATCTTTTGAGGGGAAACATATTTTATGTTTTAATTCATTAATTGCAGGAGTACCTTAACCGATACCAAGGCCTTATATTAACATCCAATGATTCTGGGATTGGGCAAGAATCGAGATTCCTCTTGCATATTCATCACAAAGATGAGTTAAGAAGATCTCAATTTCGATACATCAAATAGCTCGATCGAGGATGAGGATAACCAAACACCGTAAGCATGCCCATAAACTTATGATTCCTTGCTAATTGTGTAGGGTTGTAGTCACTGATCACTAATTAATTAAATCAAGATATAATTTAGGAGATACTTAAAAAGAAAATTAAGTTAGAACTCGGTTTTGATTCGGTTTGATAAATATATATCGTTTAATTCATAAAATTTTAAAAAATAAAAGTATATTAAACTTAAATAACTTTTTATTACTTAAATTCAATTACTATGGGTAGTAATAGATTAAAAACTCACCTACAATTCTTATAGATATGTATAATTGCCAAAACAAACAATATTTTTATATAAAAAAGTACTTTATTAGAACATTATTGGTTGAAAAGACATCTAGGATTTACAAAATTAGAATATTTACAACAAAATCCATGATTCCTGAATAACATTTTTGTTGGTAGGAAATCAAATTTTCAGAAAAAATAAACATAAATCCAGCTGGCGGCCTGGAATTGGATGGGATTCAAATTCGGATTTTTTTTTAAACGCACCGTTCCGAGCTGGATGATTCCCCCAAAGTTACTCGTTAATTATCCTACAAATTTTCCATCCCTGATCAACCCAGAGTATATGGTAACTTGGTTCACTAGGATGTTTAGAAAGGAATTGAAATCTGTGAAGGAATTAGAATCTGTAGGAATTGGAATCCAATTCCATATTCTGTTTGGTTGGCAGGAAATGGAATTGAAATCTAATTTCATATTCTGTTTGGTTCGCAGACATGTCAGATGAATTTGATTTCAGTAATGTAAAATGACAGAATTGTCCTTCTTGTTTTTTTACTTTATTTTAGTTTATTTTACAACTTACATGTAGTAATATATTATAAAAAATTTAAAAATATTAAAATTCCATTTTATTGATTGATTATTCATTTCAATAAATTATAAAAATCATGTTAATAAACATTATAAGTTAAAATCATCGCAATCAAAATATGTTAATAAGTTACCAAAAGATAGAGCAATAGTTTGATACATTCTAATCAGAGTATGTTAATTAGTTACCAAACAATATACCAAAAATTATTTTTATTCAATATATGAATTAGAAACCCGACCCGACACAAAATAATAAAAAAATTATTTTTATTCAATAAAAATATTGACTTAATTGAAAAAAATATATATAGGGGTATTATTGTAATTATCCCTAAATATATAAGGTAAAATTATATATTTTTTTCGGGTCGATCCAGTTTTTTTCACCCTAAACCCGAACCCGATCCTACTTGACCCGAATATC